CCTCCTTCCCTCCTTCCCTCCCTCCTTCCTTCCCTCCTTCCTTCCCCTTTCTTCCTTCCTGCCCCTGCTGCCCCTTCCTTCCTGCCCCCATTGATCTCTGAGATGATTACTCAGGTGTACAGACCCAGTTTGTTCATTTGGAGCTGCCAACTTAGGCCCTTCCCATCTCAAATATCAAAGGATGTTTTTGTGGCTTGTGCTGCATCTGTACCACATTTTGTGGGGCTCTTGGCACTCCCAGTGCCTTTGGCAGTTACCACCTTAGGTCAGACCTCTCCAGGGAAGGATCTGCTCATTCTGGTAGGGATCCATTCTTGAGAGAAAAGCAGGAAATACTTTGAAGGTGGAAGGTGCTAAAGTCTTTTACCATGAAAGGTCTCAACTGGCAGATGAAGATCAGGTTAAGCCTTGAAGCAAAAGCCATTGTATCCCTTCCAGGAGGGGGGGTTCTTTGCTGTTGTCATGACATTATTTTATGGAGAGCACTTCCATGTCCCATCAGGACATTTCTGAAGTCAAGCTTCACTTGGAGATTCAAAACTTCCCAGCCAATAGGGTTGTGATCTGACTCTTCTCCCTGTGAACTTTGCTGCTACTCTGTTCTAGTCTGAGAGAACAGGGTCTCTTCTCATCTCTGCAGAGAAAAAACACTGTCACAGAATCCCAGTATTGTCAGGGTTGGAAGGCACCTCTGGAGATCCCCCCTCCAACCCCCCAGAGCAGGATCCCTCCAGCAGGTCCCACAGGAACCTCCAGAGGGGCTGGGATGTCTCCAGAGAAGGAGCCTCCACAGCCTCTCTGGGCAGCCTGGCCCAGGGCTCTGCCACCCTCACAGGCAACAAGTTCCTCCTCATGTTCAGCCGGGCCCTCCTGTGCTCCAGCTGGTGCCCATGGCCCCTTGTCCTGTCCCTGGGCACTGCTGAGAAGAGACTGGTCCCCCCCTGCTGACCCCCCTGGAAATATTGATCAGCGTTTATTATTTTAAATGATGATCAATGATTCTGCTCATCTGGAATGACTGACACATCAGGATGTATTTCCCAGGTAACCTCCCTAAATGTCCCTTTTTCAGGCCCAGATCACCATGAAGGTGATCCAGGGGCTGTACAGTGGGGTCACCACAGTGGAGCTGGACACCCTGGCTGCTGAGACAGCGGCCACCCTGACCACCAAGCACCCCGACTACGCCATCCTGGCCGCCCGCATCGCCGTCTCCAACCTGCACAAGGAGACCAAGAAAGTGTTCAGTGGTGAGGCTCTGTGGGGGGGCACCTGGGGAGCAGTTAGTCAGGAAGGGAGTGGGAGTCTTTAAGAGGATGTGAAAGTGGAAATCTCTGCAGCAAGGAGCTCCGAAGCACCCAGGCTAACTGGAGATGCCATGGAGATGAAAAGCCTGAGTTCCAGGCATGTCACAGGGAGAAGTGAAATGGCCTGTTCTGTGAGAAGCATCTGTATAAATAGATTGATGAAGAATGTAACTGACTGGAATTAGGCTGCACCCACCTACTTTCCTATGCATTGTGTGTTAGAGATTCTATAAAAAAATCCCAGCCTTGTAAGAGAAGTGCATTTTTAATTGAATGGGTTGGGAACAGAACTGAGCAGGTCCAAGAGCAGCTGCGTGTGTTGAGCTGATGTCAGAGGACGGGTGGTCCTGCTCCTGAAGTCCTTCAAAGCAAAGAGCAGCTGGTGCCTGTCGTGCTGAAACCCCTTTCTGTTGCAGATGTGATGGATGATCTCTACAACTACATCAACCCCCACAACGGGAAGCACTCCCCCATGATCTCCAAAGAAACTCTAGACATAGTTTTGGCCAACAAAGATGTACGTCACTTTTTTCTTTTTTTTTCCACTTCCAAGTTTTAAAAAATTCAGTGAACTAGGTCAGGTAATTTCTTCTTATTATTTTTGAGTAAGCCATGTTTGTTTTAGGACAAGAAGTCAGTGCAGAAACCACTGCAGGTGGTAACTGCTGTGTTCTGCAGAGTCAAAGAATAGAGGAATGTCCTTCATACAAGGATGTTTCTGTTGCAGGGTCTGTTTTCTTGCATGTCCTCATAGTCACCAGCAGCACAGCTAATTAGTGTGGGAAAAGTGACCTTTTGGTGTAGCAACCTGTTTAGTGTGCAGAAGGGAGGGGTGAGCTTTGGTGTCTGATTTCAAGTAGCTCCAGGTCTGTGTTCTCACAGGGAAGTCACATTCTGTTCTGATTCTATCTGGTGTTTTCTTGGTGTCCAGTTGGACTCCAGTAACATGTAGCCAGTGATTGTGCTTTGTACTTGGGGAATAAACCTGTTCAGAGGGTGCAGTTGTTGTTCCAAGCTGAGTGCTCTTCATGCTTTTCCCTGATCCCTCCTCCACTAGGCCTTTGAGGCCAGAAGTGTCAGACAGAGTTTGCATTGTTACACCTTAATGTGGGGGCACCAAAAATCTGATTGTAAATGTGATTTATTTCCTCTCTCTTCTTCCCTCTCAGCGCCTGAATTCTGCCATTATCTACGACAGAGACTTCTCCTACAACTATTTTGGGTTTAAGGTGAAAAGCTCGTTGCTCATGAGAACAGGGACTGCTGTTTGGGCATTGCTCTGGAGCTGAGCCTTTTGGGAAGGGGGAGAATACTTGGAAAACCGTCTAGATTTGGGCACAGAGGGCTCTGGGGTAGGTGGGACGTTAGTGGGTTTGTAAAAAAAACCCAGAGTTCCTGCTTGAAGCAGTTGCCTGGCTGGATGAATCATGTGCTTCCATCTGGGCTCCATTGTCTGCCCTTGGCTCTGGAATATTTTAGCTGTGTGTTGCAGCACCAAGTCTTGTTGAAGGGTCCCCAGCTCGTGCCATTCCTCAAGGAAATAATCTGATTCTCCAGAAACCAAAAAGGGTGGTTTTTTGTGGTGTTTGTTTTCCCATTGTTCTGTGTCAGGGCTGTTCTCAGCGTGTCATCCCACCCATTTGTCCTCTCTCACACTGCTGGAACTTCTCCCCCAGAGTCAGTCCAGGCTGCTGTGTCCCCACCATCTGCTCCCATGCTGTTCCTTGCTCAGTTGTGTAGGGCTCTCCAGAGGGTTTGCTGCAGAGGGGCTGGCTGCTCCATAGCTCTTCAGGTGGTTTTGGTGGATCTCTGGGAGGCTCTGCCTGGAGTTCCCACCCACACTCCTGAGGTGGTGCCTTCTGCTTCAGGGGAAGGAGTTTGCAGTGAGGAAACAACTTGTGCTTGGAAAGAGCAGACAGCTCAGGCCAGGGTGGGGAGGGGGACCTTGGAGAGGGTTTTGTGCTCCTATATGTGCATAAATCTGCAATTCCTGCCACCCCTCCTCTAATGACTGCTGTCATCCATTAGGAACAAGCTCAGAAGGCATCTGCTGTAGTTGTAGCTTTACCATATTTGTCATTTTGTGGGTTCAACCCCCAGCACAGCCAGCTGTGGGATGGGCTGTCTGGAAAGTATTATCCTGGGGTGATTAATGTCCCCCTGAGGAGGGATGGGGCTGTGGAGAACAAGCACTGCCTTGGCATCCAGGGGCAGCCTTGGCTTCTGCCCAGGACAGTGGTGGGGTCCCAATCCCTGAAGGGGTTTCCAAGCCATGTAGATGTGGTGCTGAGGGACATAGAACTCTCCAGGTTGGAAAAGATATGGGTTAGTGATGGCCTTGGCAGGGCTGCTTAATGCTCTTTAAGGTCTTTTCCAAACAAAATAATTGCATGATTCCTGATTCACTGGGGGTGGGAAGGTAGTGTTGACCCTTGTGGCCGTGGGCTCCTGTGGGATTTAATGGGACTTTTATCTTAAACTGAAACCTGCCTGTCTCCTGAAATGCTTTCTCTCTTTTCAAAGACTCTGGAGCGCTCCTACCTGCTGAAAATCAACTCAAAAGGTAAGAACTGCCTCTTTCAGCCCAAGTGTGATTCTCTGGGCTGGCTCAGGGCAGCTGTGGCTGCCCCATCCCTGGCAGTGCTGGATGGGGCTGGAGCAGCCTGGGCTGCTGGGAGGTGTCCCTGCCCCTGGCAAAGGTGGGACTGGAGGATTTTAAGGTCCTTCCCCACCCAAACCATCCCATGATTCTGTGATTCCCTGGCCAGGAGAGGGCACTAAAGACCCTCCTAAGGTTCCTTCCAGTCTGGAATTGGTGTTTCTTTGAAAACTGTGGTTCTCCTGCCCCTGCTGCTCGTGACCATCACCTCCACCCCTGCCCGCTCTAACCATTCCTGCCCTCCTGACCCCCTTCTCTCCCCCCTGGGTGCCCAGTGGCCGAGCGTCCCCAGCACATGCTGATGAGGGTGTCTGTGGGGATCCACAAACACGACATCGACGCTGCCATCGAGACCTACAACCTCCTGTCCGAGCGCTGGTTCACACACGCCTCCCCCACCCTCTTCAACGCCGGCACCAACCGGCCCCAGCTCTCCAGGTACCTTTGCCTTCCAGCTGTGTTGGCTGCAGAACTGGGCAGGGGGGAAGCTCTGGGGACAGGGTCTGTTCCAAGGAGGTGCTGCCACAACTTGTAAGGGCAGTAGCTGGGGTTTGGTGGTAGTTTTCTGAAGTTTTGGGAAGCTGCTGTCGCGTGGAGCCTGTGCAGTCCTTGGGGAAGAACACGTGGGTGTCTTCAAGCTTCTAGAGAAGGTGGAAATGTTGCCAAGGCTCTCTTGAGTTGGAAGGTGACTGATGGCATAGTCTTCTGTAGATTGATTTTGTAATCCTGGAGATTGTTTTCTAAAACATGCTGAAAGTAGCAAGGATAACTGATAGAACTTAAAAAATGTTCTGCTTTGATAATGCCACCTACCTGAAGTATTGTGTCCAGATCTGGGGTGCCCAGCACAGGGAGGACACGGAGCTGTTGGAGAGAGGCCAGAGGAGGCCCTGGAGATGCTGGGAGGGCTGGAGCAGCTCTGGAGCCAGGCTGGGAGA